GCCTTAGCCTCCCAAGTAGCTGAGCCTGCAGGCGGTCACCACAATGCCTGGCTATTTTTTGGTTGTAATTGTCATTGTTGCTTGGCAGGCCCAGGCTGGAGTCCAACCTGCCATCTCTGGTGTATGTGGCTGGCGCCCTGGCCACTTGAGCTACAGGCGCTGAGCCCAAAGATAGAATTTTAAGTGCTTTTAGTAAGATATAATACAGTGGAGCAATCTTTAGTTTAATTTGTCCACATATATATGCATATATATATATACACACACACACACACATACATATTCTGCATTGGCACAACAAACTCTTTTCTACTAAACCATGTGTGTTTTAAAATCTCTTTGAAATTTTTTTTTTTTTTTTTGAGACAGAGCCTCAAGCTGTCCCCCTGAGTAGATTGCCGTGGCATCACAGCTCATAGCAACTTCCAACTCCTGGGCTCAAGCCAGTCTCCTGCCTCTGCCTCCCAAGTAGCTGGGACCACAGGTGCCCACCACAATGCCTGGCTATTTTTCTTTTCTTTTTTTTTTTCTTTTTGGTTGCAGCCATCATTGTTGCTTGGCAGGCCCAGGCTGGATTCGAACTCACCACCTTAGGTGTATGTGGCTGGCGCCTTAGGCACTTTAGCCATAGGCGCCAAGCCATCTCTTTGAAATTCTAATGGAGAACCATTGATAATACTGTTCAGACATGTATTTAGTTAGAGCCTAGTATTTAATTTATTTATTTTCAGTTTATAAAGAAAAGCGCTTTATTTAGCTTACAGTTCTCAAGTCAGGGAAGTTCAAGGACATGGCCCTAGCTTCTAGCGAGGGCTTTCACACGTATCCTAACAGGACAGAAGAGCTCAGAGAGGAAGTGAGAGCTAATCTAGTCTCACCAGAGCAGAAACGAACTCACTACCTTGAGAATGGCACTATGCCATTCATCTGGGATCTGCCCCTGTGACCCAAACACCTAGTGGGTCCTCCTTCCCAACACCACATTAGGGATTAAAAATGTCCATGTACATTTTGGTGGGGATAAAAAAGTCATATCTAAACTATAGCAATGGTCAATGTCATTGACCTTGATTTTTAAAAAAAATTATGGGTACAGAATAGCTGTATACCTTTATAGGGTACATGTTTTAATATAGTCATATAACTTGAATTAATTAAATCAGAGTAATTAAAGTATTTATCACCTCAGGCATTTATCATTTCTTTGTGTTAGGAACATTGTAATTCCAGTCTTTTAATTATTTTGAAATATACCCTAATTTAATGTTGATTATAGTCACTTTGTTGTATTAATATTGTTCATTCTAACTATATTTTTTGTGCCCATTAATTATCCCTACTTTATCCCCTCCTTCCTACTATCCTTCCCATCCTCTGTTACCTCATTGACCTTGATTTTACAATTCAAGAATGAAGAATACAGCCTTTTCAACAAGATGCTAAGACAACTGGATATTCACATGCAAAAAAACTAATTTAGACTCATAACTTACATCATATATAAAAATAAACTGAAAATAGAGCAAAAACTATAATATTTTTAGTAGAGAATACAGGTATAAATCTTTGTGACCTTTGATTAGTAGAGCCTGGTATTTATAATGCAAAGAACATGGGTTTGTTGCCTATGTGGGCTTACTAGTTTCGCTTGTTCATGGACACAAACTCAACTTTGTTGTTACTTCCCAAATATGTGCTATGGGCCACAAGATGAGCCAGGAGAGAGGGATGAATCAGTGAAGCCGATTTGCCTCTCTGAACTTCTTTTCTCTTATCTATAAAATTAGATTAATAACTTTTTCATGGAATCATTGAAGATTAATGAGGTAGCATAAGGTTGCTTCACAATGGCTGGCACTTGGTACACATTCAGTTGTTTTTAACAACTACCATAATTAATGACTTGGGAATAAACTTATCATTAATCACTGTTATTAAATTTCATAGTTATTCTGTGTCTAAATTATATGCCAAAGAGAAGAAAGAAAGAATAGTTTCATCATAATTAGTAATACCAAAGTTATTTTCGTTTTAGCTTCAGCCCAGTGTCTTTACTGTCTATTGTCCAAAGTAATTCTCCCTAAGGACTTGCCACACCATGTGCTGTCGTGGTTAATGGTCTAGACTAAGAGTTGACGAACAGCCCTCCACCTGTTTTTGTAATCACTTTTATTGGAATGCACTCATGCTTATTTATTTACTTACTATCCTGTGGCTACTTTCCTGCCACAGTGACAGAGTTGAGTGCCAAAGAGGTCAAATAACCTTCAGAGCTTAAAGTTTGCTCACCTCTGGTCTGTACTAGATCTGGAGTCCAGCCAGCAATTGAAGACCTTCAGACTATAGCCAGCTTTTAACTCAGAAATCCTTAAGTACACTTTAGCATGTTTGTCTATTTTTAGTATTCCTTTTGCATAGGGGACATTACACTTCCATAGACTGATTGCCTTTTGTATAATTTCATTGATTCCTTCTTGTTTCTCAGGACTCTGCTCAACCATGCTCCATCTTCCTGAGGTGGCCTTGCTATTTATTTATCTGATTGGGAAAACAGTCTGTCAGGCACAGACCCCTTCAGCTTCTAGTAGCCTTCACATTTACAAGAAAATGTTCTCATTCTCTAATCTTAAAGCAACAGTTCTCAACCTGTGGGTCACAACCCATAGGGACTGTATTAAAGACTCGTGGCATTAGGAAGGTTGAGAACCACGGTCTTAGAGGAAGAGGAGTTTCTTAAGGCAGTCCTTTGCTCTCTTGATCTCACCTTCTTTATATATGTCTTCCAGCTTTCAAGACCTTGTTCTGTTCCTTTCCTCTTTTTTATTTCCAACCAGTTCTTCTCTGCCAGCTCTTTCTTCACAATCTATAAGCATACCAGTCCTTAAAAGTCATAAACTTTCCTCTTTAATCCCTTATTCATCTATAACTACTCCTTAGCTTTTGTTTCCTTTCATAGCCAGGCTTAAAAAAAAAAAAAAGTTGAGGCTGGGCAGCGCCTGCGGCTCAGTGAGTAGGGCGCCAGCTCCATATACCGAGGGTGGTGGGCTCAAACCCGGCCTTGGCCAAACTGCAACAAAAAAATAGCCGGGCGTTGTGTTGGGCACCTGTAGTCCCAGCTACTCGGGAAGCTGAGGCAAGAGAATCACCTAAGCCCAAGAGCTGGGAGTTGCTGTGAGCTGTAACAGCACGGCACTCTACCAAGGATGACATACTAAGACTCTGTCTCTAAAAAAAAAAAGTTACCTATATGACTATCTTAACTGTCCTTTCTCCAGTCAAAGTTTTCATTTCTTTATTTGTAATTCTTTTTTTTTTTTTTTTT